CTGTAATATCATTAGAACTTACAGGTTTTATTCATTTAGCAATAATATAAATATAAAACTGTTATTTACAGTGAAATATTTTGTATTAATAATATGTTGTAACCGACCCCAAACAATGTTACAACTGTCCCCGGCCCCGGGGTCAGTTGTAACATCTGACTTTTCATTTTCAAATACAAATAATGAAGAATGTACATGATTTAATCATCTATAAATGGTTTAGACTATTAACAGACAGATGTAAGTTTATTGTATTAAAATTTTGTTTGTCTAATTCAAACCATCTCTGAGGAACAGAGTCAAATGTAACAAGTGTTGCAACTGTCCCCGGTCTCCCCTACCTCTTTATCTGTGTACTGGTTACACAGTAAATCTATTTTTAATTTTTATTTTTCTTACGTCATGTCCTTTTTTACTTCAAGTTTTAACTGTGTGTCTAGGGGGCAGAGAGACAGTGTTAAAAGGAAATCTACATTTTTGTTTTGTAAAAATATAAAAGCTAACAGCGTTTTGCTACAGGAAACACATCCTGCTGAGGAACATGAGAGATTTTGGTTTAATTTGTGGGGAGTCATGGTACTAACAAATCAGCTGGGGTAGCTCTTTTGTTTAAAAACTTTCACAACAAAATAGAAACTCATAGGAAAGACAACCTGGGTCATTGTCTAATCTGTGTAATCAAAGTGGAAACTAGTTTCCTAAGTCAGCAGTGTTTATGGTTACAACAGTGTCTCCCAGAACAGAAAACTATTGACTGAAATAACCAGTCATTTGAAAGAATAATGTCTCAAATACTCAACCAACAATGTTATACTGGGAGGAGATTTTACCATGGTCTGTAACGACTGGCTTGATGGATCACCCTCTAAATACCAAACTCATTACATAAATTTATTATTACATAACTTTAGCTTAGAAATAAACAGATCCATGGAGATTAGAAAATCTGCTTACTCAGTCCTTTTCATGGTTCAAGCATGCACTGCAGAAACTGTCCATCTTACCAAGTTTTAAACCTTGTATCAGCCAAAAAGTCTTTTTGATCTTGTTTTCAGACTGATTTACTAAACAAGAACTGATTGTGTAAGAATAATCATCTTGTTTTCAGAATGTGTAAGATTATTTGTCTTGTTAGTCTGAAAATTTGACTC